AACTCTCAGGTAGTAGCAGTAGTGCATTAACTTGAAAAAATGCTGGCAAATCGACAAAATGTTTTTAAACCAAGGAAGCACTGTCCATCTTCATTAAGAAAAAATATTTTATGCCAAGAGAAACAGAACTTTGTTCTATCTGTCCTTCTCTATTACTTTTCAAGTCATATTTTAAAGCTCTAAATTTGACAGTTTTGTAGGTTCCTCATTGCTTCAGGAATTTCAACCTGTTGCATTAATACAGGAAATATAGGACTACTGCCATTCTCTATTCCTTTTGACAAATCATATTTATTCTTTAAACTTAATACTCTTTTAAAGGAAAAATGTTACTTTTTGCTAAGGAAATTATATTTCCTGTAAACAGTTTATGTGATAAATGGCACCAAGGTGAACTGGAAAACAGACAAGAATCAAGAGCCCTGGTCCTTTAAGTAACTTATGGGCAACACCTAACTACATCTCCTATTCCAGGCAGGCTCATGGAATCCGAGAAGAAACTGTAAACCTCTCCTAGGTTAACTTGTTTGCCCACAATGTAACTAAATCATAATTTCACTATCCCCAAACTCTTTAGATGTAGGTGTGCATTTTAAAAAAACAAGTATAAAAACGCATCATAGCAAAATGCTTATAGTCATGTTTCAATGCTTTACTGACAAGCCTTTCTTTCTGTTATGGCCTTGCTATAGCCTATGCCAAGAAATGTGAATGGGTTAAGATGACACAAGGCATTGCCTGAAACATTTTCTGAAAAGCACAAGTCAAGAGTAGGAATGCATTCATTTGAGAAGCTCTTCTGTTTATGTGGCACTTTATCTTCCTGCCCCTTTCTTCTAAAGCAGCATGGGAGGGTTATTAATCTCCTCCAAATTCTACCAACCAAGACTTAAATCAGCATTCCACAATTCAGTATCAATGTGATTTTTTTCAAATATTCAAAGCACTGTAAACAAAACGCAAGCTAAATTTTGGACATGGAAAATTAAAGAAACTTTTTTCTACAATCAGGGAAGTTTTATAATCTTTTTAAGTTGGGTGAAATGTGCTAAATGCTAAATATCATAACTCCTAGTAAGAAAACATCCTTAGTTAATAAACTAGCTTATTCAAATCAAGTGTTTCACTTTAGACTTAATGATGTTGCTTATATATGACTTTTAAGGCATCTGACTCAAAAATCAGCTCAAAATCATAAGTCTGCTTAGAAACAAATGAAGGGTTTTAAGAATCTAACATTTTCAAAGTTGCAGTAGTCATCTTTGAGCTACAAGGACAAATCTGAATACTGCATTGTACAATGAATAAAGAACAATCACATTATAGAAATAAGTAACATTTTGAATGCTAGGGCACAGAGCATGCTCCTAATAGTTACTGAAACGGAGTTTTACTGTTAGAGAATTACCAGAATGTTGTACCACTGGATACACTATTCACTGATGGTAACTTTTAATTAAGAAGAGCTGATTGTTGGCAGCTCAAGAACTGTATTTTAATGTCTGACAAGATCGTCAGAGAGGGCTAACATGTAAACTTTTATTTCATATTTTTAAAGTGCTACAAATAATAACAGATTTGTGTTCTCAATACATGAAACAACATGAAAATCCTAATATATGAAAGGCCACCTCACACATAAAAGAAAAAAAAAATCACTGTGCTGCTAATCTTGTATATTCCCCATTCAATTTTTTTCACAAAAGACATAGAAAAGTATGTTCAGCTAGAGGGGAACTTACAACTTTCCTGTTTTAATGCCTATACAAGATAGAAAGAATAAGCTTAACATGCAAATTAGGCACAGGCATTTATAGGAATGTATAAATATGTTAATTCATTCCTGATTAAGATTTCACTGGGACTTGAACTTCATGGAATAATCAAGTGGTATGTCAATATTTGTTTTTGCCAACAGGGTCAAGCTGACCAGCCCCCAAACTTGCAAGGGTATCACTTGACTGTGCCCATGATCCATTCATGAGAAACAAGAAAGCAACCATCAACTACTAATAGTAGCTGTACCACACTAATATCTTCACATGGCTATCACATCACAAAATTCCCGAGACATTAGTTTTAATTTCTGAAATCACTCTATCCAGAAGTGCCTTCATAGCCCTACGTCTAATCTTTAAATCCAAAGAAGAGTAAGGGAAAGAAGAGTCAGGAAAGGAGGAGTAGGGGACAGGAAAGCACAACCTTGGTTCATTCTGCTACTAGTATCAACTAACCTCATTTTAATAAAAAAATTCTTGCAAGGCAGTCAAAACCTGAATGAATAGGAAGAAAGGTTTCGCTCTGCTCAAGTGCAAATGTAAGAAAAAGTTTCTTTTCATCTTGGTGCAATGTTTTAAATTTCTCAAGACTAGAATTTACGTACATTAACTAACTTCAAGTGTATAGTGTTAGGCGCTCAGTCATGTCCGACTCTGCGACCCCATGGGAGACTGCCAGGCTCCCCTTTCCATGGGATTCTCTAGGCAAGAATACTGAAATGGGTTGCCATTCCCTTCTCCATTCAAGAGTACAAGTGCAATTTAAAAAAATCTTATAGCTTCTGTGAGGCTTACAAGCTTGAATTCTGAGTAAGTACAAGTTTAGGTTTTTAATCCTCCACAATTAAATTAAAATGGTCTGCAAACAGTGCTTCATCTTGAATATCCCATGATCAGAACATTACTTAAAAAAGTCCTATTGCTGAATTTCAGCAGCTGATTAAATAAGTCGTTACTGAGAGTGACCTATCAGTGTCCAACTGAGGAATGCACAAACTAGTTAACAGGTATAATAAAATAGAATAAGATCCCCTAAATAAATAGTTGACACTTGTTATAAAAGCATAAGCTTAAATATGCAAACAAAAACATTTAAAATAAGCTTAATTTTATAAAATATCCAGTTTTATATCCCTCCACTTGTTAAAATTAAAATCAAATGTAGATAAAAGTATACTCAATTTTAAAGCAACAAAATTTATGTTTGGAAACATCAATATACACCTAGTATATAATAAATTACTCAATAAATATTTGTTGGATGAATAAACTTCTCTAAAATTCCAGTAAGCAAGTATCAAGTTTGGCCCTTGAAATACTTAGGAAACGAAGGCAAGGTTTATGAATAGTAATGCATAAAGCTCAACTGGATTGGTGTTACCCAGTAGTATACTCTTAACTTACAGCTTTAAATTTGTCTGGGGGAATTAAGAGATACAAAATCCTTTTAGACCAGATGACATACAGGTACAAAGAAATTTTCATCATATTCATTTGTACACATTATGACTGCCAAACATCAAATTTCACAAGCTCATAAGCGCTATTTTAAGGCTCAGTAAAATAGAAAATTAAACACTTTTGAGTTAAACTGACGATAATAACTTATCGTTATTATCCTAAAAGTCCTATTCACACAAAAGGTACTCAAGAAATGTCATCTAACAATTTAATGCATATCTTGTGAACTGCTCCTTAAAGATACTTTTCTCCTAAATTGTTTACATACTCCTTAATTTTATATAATCACTTCTACCAAGTGAAAGTGCTAAAAGGAAATCTCAATTCTGAAACATTTGCCAAGAAGACATGCTAAAAGAGATATAAGTGCTTTAAGGTATACCATTGGGTTTCTTTCTTTTTTTTTTTGGTCACTCCATGAAGCTTGTGGGACTTAGTTCCCCAACAAGGGATTGAACTGTGCCCTTGGCAATGAAAGGGTAGAGTTCTTACCACTGGACCGCCAGGGAATTCCCATACCATTGGTTTTCTAAGTAAGATAATAAAAAAACGAGACCAAGATAACAAAACTTCACAACATTAAGCCTCTTTACATTATGTAAGATAATGCATAACAAATTATAATTTAGCATCCCTGATCTTCAGAAGAATTAAGAGGTAGAACACTTATCTGGAAGATCTCATAGTGAAGCTAAGTTTTAGAGGGTATGCCTCGCGGATTAGCCCACCAAGCAAATGGCTACACATCTAATACTAGTAAGAAGCAGAATTCTGAGAAGGCTGAATAAGGCAAAGATTTAAAAACTGGCATATTTTCTAAGTGAAACAAATTCATTCAGTGTTATTATCCCAGTTACTTTAAAACTCTGCAAAAGTCAAAGTAAAAGATGGTGGATAAACAAAGTATTAATTTTCAGAAACATGAAATCATTTAAAAGAGTGGTTTGACATGGCTAGCATGAAAACAAATACTGTTTAGGTAAGCAAAAGATCTCTCAAAAACCAAATGAAAGCATGCTGTTATTATTTTAGATGGAAAGTTATTTTAGGACTTGGAGGAAGTGCTCTTAACAAAAAGCTGAGGAAATTAAATCCCTCCAAACAAATCTTTAGTTAAAAAGGCAAAAATTGAGCACTCAAGTTTCAAGGAAGTTCAATTAAAAAAAAAATCCTGCTTAATTTTAACGTTTTATCCAACGTGACAGATGAATAAATGAGTTGCATTAAATCATGAGGCCCATGGTCTTTTAAAGCTTCAGTAAGCTGCTCAGGCACCTCTTCCCTCGTACATTCTCTTTTATATACTAGAAATTCTTAACTGGGCACTATAAGTTCTTGATTTTAGGTAATATTCTCAAGGAGTAGACTCATCTCTGTAAAAATTGCATGTTATCTACTTATAACAACTGGTGAAGTACACATTTATAAAGTCTACCAAATTGCAATATGAAATCAGTTTTAACAATTCTGAGTATCTTCATCTGAGGAATCAATTCATAACATAGAAACTATTAACCCACTCAGAGTTTTTAAAAAGACCCAATTACCGGAGACACTGTGGTTTATGTCCAGTGGCCTCACCTGAAGCCTTCCACATTACCCCAAATAGGAAGTTGTTTTCTTCTACAAGTTAATGCTGCTGGGTGCTAGTTTATAATACTAAAACTCAATCTTCAGGTCAGTGTGAGTAGGTAGCAAGGACTACCTATGCTGTCACCCAAGCAGGAGGAAGGCTTTATCACCGCTGTAGACACACATCTGTAAACTTGCACACTAATTTTAATCTTAACAAGGAATTCAGTGTCTTAGTGGTTTAAGGTTAAAAGGATGGTTCAAGCATTGTGTTCTTTTGTTCTTAAGGGTAACAAATAGCTTATTGGAAAACCCAGAGCCTTCTGGATCTGTGAGGTAGTAGGCTTCAATCCTCATCATGCATGGATCACACTTCTCCGAAGTTGGTATGGCCTGTCTCCTTGGCATGGTCCCTTGCTTCTGCTTGTCCAGTTAATCCCTTCTGACATACCATGCATCTCAGGGTGAAGCGGTTTACATCAGTAAACTGTCTCTTCTTTCTAGCTTCATCTGCTAATTCCAGTGCTTGCACAAGAACAATATCATCATAAGAGGAGAAAATAGTCAGAGGAGGGGTGTCTGGGTCAGGGAAGACGCGCTGAAGTGGATCATAGTGGATGCCATCATAAATGAGAAGGACCCTTTTGGTATATCCTGCATCTTCCCCAAAACGGTCAATTCGTACAGTCTGTGTATCCACTACACATATTTCACATTGGTAAAACTTAGACAAAATGGATATCTCAATGGCTCCACCCCAAGTATCATCCCTTTTGATCCAGTCACAGTACTCTTCATTTGTTTTTCCCAGTATTGCCTCACTATAGAAGTCTGGATCACTGGCTACAATTTGTGCTATGAGGCGTCTCATCTCAGGGGCACAAGCTGGATTCAAGACTCCTCCTTCAACAACATAGTACACACTGGTAAAGAGACAAGAGTTGTCTGCTGGGACTGCCATCCTGGTAAGTACAGGCAAAGTTTCCCTGACGTAACTAGGAGCACCATATTTTGTAAATGTAGGCGACGTTTTGGGCCTACTTTGGTCTTCTTCAACGATCAGCATGTCACCTGTCAAAAACAAAACAAATTTAGAACTGCAGAGAAAGTATAGATGAAATTGCTACTGCTACTGCTAAGTCACTTCAGTCATGTCTGACTCTGTGCAAACCCATAGACAGCAGCCCACCAGGCTCCCCCGTCCCTGGGATTCTCCAGGCAAGAACACTGGAGTGGGTTGCCATTTCCTTCTCCAATGCATGAAAGTGAAAATTGAGTGTTCACTAACCAAGTCTGCAAACTACAAACAGGGGGAGTTAAAGTATACACGGGTTACTAGGGAGAATACAAATTTGCAAACATGTGATCAGTAATAGTTCTTGTTCCCTGAATCTTCATAAAGATGAAAACGGAACAAAGAGAAAGACATTGTATCTCACTTAGTAAAGAGGCCTGAGTTATACACTTTTATACTTACCTAAAAAGATTCATTTCAAGAACAAAATTTTCTTATCCTTGCTCTCTGCAGTTTAAAAGCACTTCCAAAAGGTGTTTACGAAGGACTTGGCCACTAGGGGGTGCTCTCGATCTGAAATATCATATCTACCCTGTTCAAGTGTTTACAGGATCCTTGAGACTACAGAGGAAAGCTTTTAAATACCAATATTGCTGTTCAAGTTTTAATATTAGACAGAAATAATTGCTTTCGTCTAGAACTTGAAAGCGCCTTCAGTGGATGTGTCAAAGCAAACTCTAAAATGAGTACAACTGTCAGAGAAAGTACCAATGAAGGCGATTGTAAAAATGAACCAGGAAAGCAAAAAAAAAGTATCTTACATTTTTCAGACATACTGTCTTCTTTCACTGATACAGGGAAAAAGAACAATCAGGACAGAGAAAACATCGCATTTTAAAAATACTTCTGTGGACGCAGAGGGAAACAAAATGAATGAGATGTTTTCAAGGCAGACCAGAAAGCAGCCAGGAAGGAGGACTCCACGGTTTTTGAGCTTCTCATAGAGATCAGGCCCTCCCTGTCTCTTTCAAACTATATGTGAAGTCAGGGAGTTGCTGGACACTAGTCCTGGCCTCCGTCAGAATTCTCGGTTCTTTAATCTCTCCTATTCTCGTCCCCCAAGCCGACCCCTAGAGACCTGGCCCTGACAGCGTCCGTTCTTTCTGCCCCTCTACGTCCTCCCAGGACCTTGCCTGGCCCAGCCTCGATTCCCGTACCTGACTGGATGGGCAAATCCCCTAGTATGGTATCCCCGTTGCTAAGATCCAGGCACTCGGGCGGGTATCCGACGAGGATTCGCTGACAGCTGGGGGAGATCCCGGTGATGGCGGCAATCTGGCCCTGGAGTTCTCGCACCCGGGTCCGGCTGGACAACCCCTGCAAAACATGAGTGCCCTCCTTGGCCTTGCAGCGGAGCCGCCACATCGCGTTGGTGCGGCCGCCCACCGGGCAGACACCGGTGGGGCCAGCTTTGGTCCCGGCAGCAGGCTGGCAGACGCCGCCGGGGCTACCAGCCGCCGGGTGGACTCCAAAATGGCCACCCTTTGCCGGTCTAAACATCGCGAGAAGTCGCTGGTTGTACGGTTCTCGCGATACTCTTCGGCTTCAGTTCTAGCACGCTCTTAAAGAGACAACTAACTCCTGCCACTTGCCAGGAGGCAGAGGATGAAGATTTATCCGTATTCCCAAAGTACGACTGGTCTTGCCGCCTGTAGGGCTAGTGAGGTACCCTCCGCGTCGGAAGCATATATGCTCAAGGGAAGAGGGCGGGGGAAGGAGTTCCTGAATCGAAGCCATTGGAATGTAACCTTGCACTTAGTTCGGAAATTATTAAATTGGGGCTTCCAAACTACGCAGGGAGAAACAAGAATCATAGTTCGGAATGCAGACGAATGCCAAGAATGGCCTGTGAGTCAAATAACCAGTTAAAGACAAATAAGTCTCGTGACTATAGACTCGGCTGCAGCAAACATTGACTCATTGAGGTTAAGGGGCCTTTCCACCTCCAAGAGACTGTAACTTGAAAACGTCCATTGGCCACATCAGAAAGCGCAGTATGAGGTCAGCATCTGGGCAGAGGGCAATTGCTACCTTCAGGAGGTGGTGGCGGTATAAGGAGGAGGAATGAAGACCAACGTGTGTCATTCAGATTCCAGTTCAGGCCCTAGACACACACATACCAAAAGGACTCCATTCCTGCCTTCAAAATAGCAAAGTACTCACGTAATCAGGAGAGAGGGTGGGGTGTAAAGGACACATAACCACGGAATTTCATAGCAACGTGATAATGCTAGATTATGTGACCTTTTCCAAACTTATATCCCGAGAACAAAGGACGGTGTCTCGCAAGTAAGTGCTCATACTTGCTGAATGGATGAAACGGAGCTGTATAGGCACAGAAGGGGCAGCTGGGAGTTGTAAAAAGTTTCAGAGGAGATACTATTTGAGCTGTTTTGAAGGATGAATTTAATCCCCAGGTGAAAGAGGAATAAAAACATCTCTGAATTCACCTCTCTTCCAAGAAATACGTACGCATTGTTCTTTTTCCGTCCTGGACGCAGAGCGGCAAAGCCTACACTGCGTAGAGGGGATTTATAACTACAATCAAGCATCGAATGGGCCCTGGGGGCAACTGTGCACTTGAAATGTGGAAACTCACTAACACTGTTAAAGTTTCTGCCTCTGAATAAATTATATGGAAGCAAAGCATCTTTTCAAACCTTTCAGGACCCAATTTTCTCCTGGAGCAATTTTCCTCTTTGGTTCTTCAAGATGATCATAACAACCGGTACAGCGTGGGTGGTAAACGAGAGAGTAAATAAGATGGTAAGTCCACTGGAGTACGAGCACGTGTTCAGGGAAGACCCTGTTTCGGAGAGGAGAGTAGTTGATTTTCTTAGTTTACAGTGTTTGACCGAAGGGACTATGCAAACATCCTAAAATGCGATCCCCTTAAGTCCTTTGGTGGTTTACTTTAGCACGTGTTAATCGCACAGTCGAGTCCGACTCTCTGTGACCGGAAGCAAAGCACCTTCTAAAGTGTATGCTCCAGTGCTTGGATTTAACGAGATCCCGCCGGGATTCAGCAAGAAGAGCGTTAATCTTCACAGCATTTTTTTTTCCAGTCAGCAAAAAGCCACACCCCCTCAGGACAGCCACTAGTTCACTCTCGCGATAGTACGAAAAATAGTCCGACTTTTTATTAACCCCGCCCCCAGCCGTGCTAGTTGCCAAGCAACGGTGTAGCCAACCTCCACGGCGCCGGGAGACTCGCGAACTCGCGCTAGTTCACCTTCACAGGTCCCTCCTCCGGAACGAACGAGCGAGAGCGAGCCCCGCCCCCCAGAGCCCACGGGCGCTCGATTGGCCGAGGAACCTCTCCAGGTGAGGGCTGAAGCCGGGGTGGGCGGGACCAGGCTTGGTGGGCGGGGCCGGGCCGGGCACGTGACTCGCCGGCTGCTGCTGCCCCGGACCCCGGCCCCAGAGTCCGCTCACGCCTGTTAACCTCAACGGGTAGGTACCGGGGCCGCAGGCGGGAGGGGTTTTAGGGTGGAAGGAGGCTGTGCAGCACCTTGAAGGGGCTTGGCAGGCGACAGGAGGGGGGCTGCCTGCACCTTGATGAGGTGCGGGAAGATGAAGCCTCGCTGTTTGGGGCAAGTCCGGATTCCCCCCGCCCCCACCCCAGGCATTACCTGGAGTGTGTACGTTTAGGGACCCAGAGCCGCAGCTGGTGGGTGAGTTCAGAGGATGTGCGTGGTCAGTGAAAGAACTGCAGGATCCCTGAAGCACTGGGCGTCTTTCTCACGAGTCCCTTGTCTGGGATTGCGGAGTGGACTCGGGACTCTCCCACTCCAGTTAAGAGTCAGGACTTACCCCTTATGCTGCAAGTGACCTTGGGAAAGTTATTTACCACATCTAGCTACCCGGTGATTCTTCCATCGACTGCTTCCGAGGAGATGTATGGGGAGGGGCTGCGGACCGGGGGTTGAGAGTAAGGACACCATAAGGGAAAGTGGTGACGTCCGGGGGCTGTCCCGGATCCAGCTGCGGTTTTTCCTTTAGGGGACGTGTTTGAGATGTTCCCGATTCTCTCCTTTTTTTTTTTTCCCCCCCACCCCCCACCCCCCAGAACTGAATCCTACCATTGGACTGCAGTTGCTTTATGATAATGAACTTGATCTATTCACAATCCACCCCACCCCCACCTGATGCCACTACTCTCCCCAGATTCTTAACCTGGAATCTGAGGTTAGGAAGGGACTTGGATAAGCCATTTAATTTGATTAACCTCAGTTTTTCGGTCTAAAATGGGGAGAAGTAGCAATGGTAGCAAAATCTGTTTTATTACATGATTATTGGAAGGATTGAAGGAGATAATTTATGTGAATGTAAACTCCTAAGTCAGTATTATAAATGCAAGGATCTGGTGCAACTGTTCATAGATAAGGAAACAGAGGGCTGGAGATATTCATGACTTATCCTGGGGCATGTAGCTATTAACTGGGAGAAGGAGGGCTGGCTTTGACCCTTGACCCAGGGTTCTTTCACTTGTACCTCAGTGGTCCTCTTTTGAGTGTTCTGAGGGTTCTTTTCTTCCTTCCCTTCTTTACATTCCTTTTGTCCCTTCCAGGCATCTCCTGAAGAGTTGCCATGTCTGGGAATCCTGCCTCTTCCTCAGAACAGAACAACAATAGCTATGAAACCAAAGCAAGTCTCCGAATGTCAGAGAAGAAATGTTGTGAGTATTGGGAAAGAGGAGGGGCTGCTCTGTCCCATGATTTTATTTTGGGAATATTGTTGTAATTCTAGACTTTGCTGCTGAGTGGGAGTGAGAAATAATTCTTTGACACGGGAATTTAAAACAAAGTATAGCAGGGGAATTTCCTTTCTGAAACAAGTAGACTCAGTGAAATGTCTGTCCTTGGCTAGACTGCTGGTGTAGCCCAGCAATTTCTTCCTGCTTTCTTTAACTGAATCTTTTATCTCCTCCATCCTGGGAGTATTTGCCCAGTCAGTTGATGCCGAAAGTTAGAGTAAGTATTGTACATGCAGTGAGTAAGGCAGAGTGGCAGGGTGCAGGAATTCCTTGGGGCTGATACTGTTAAGAGTTTCCCCTAATCTCTTGGGCTAAGTTTTGTGAGAGTGCTGCTCACAGCAGAAATTGCAGGTAGGAACCAGCTGCTCATTTCTATAGGCCTAAGGGAAATTGACCATGATATTTCACTTTTTGCCATGTCTGGGGCACTTTACTGCCTCACAAGTTTAATCTTTATATTTTGCAAACTATTTTCCTCTGGGGATGGGTTTCACAGGAGCATTTCCATGCTCATCTTTTAGACAGAGACAACAGGTGGGTTTGCAGAGAGATGAAGTGGTGTTTCCTGTCCCCGTGATCTGCATGCCTAAGCATCCTTCAGACTGTAAGACTGTATCACCCAGGTCAAAAGGTCCTGGGCAGTTGGTCCCCAGATGTTTTGGGGAAACTCAAGGAAAGCTCACTCTGTCCCTGCTTCCAAGTTCCCTTGGAACCCTACCAGGCAGTCCTTCTCACTTCAGTGGTTATATTTATCAGTAGGTGGAAATAGTCACCCAGCATGAGACTTGGGATCATCTCATGTTCCAGACTTTCCCCAGAGTCTCAACCTTGATGTCACGCCCTTGTCAGTCTCATGATTAATGATGATCATCTTTTTTCACCTATCACTGATGAGGCTTGTTGGGGTTTGGCTGCAGCAGAGGTGGCTTGTTTGGGGGTGATCCTGGGGTTGGTGCACCTGTATGATTAGGGTCTTCCTTCTCTGCCAGGGCAGGAAGCCAGGTACCGAGGGCAAGAACCCTGTGGAAGATACCTACTGTATCACGACGTTTGGGTGTAGACTCTGGAGTCAGACTGCCTGGGTCCAAATCTTCTTGTTACTACTTCCTAGCTAGGTGCTTTTAACTAAGTTGCTTGTCTGCCCCATGCCTCAGTTTACTTTTTGATAAAATGGGGATACTAATAGTATCTCTCTGAGTGATATGAGAATTGAATGCTTATATATAGGAGAGCACTTAGAAGAATGTTAGGCATGTGGCTAAAATGTTATTTTTCACCGGTGACAATTTGCATGTTGTGTCTCTTCCTGAAGCATTATATATAGATTGAATTATGCGGTAAATGCTGTGCTGGAATCTCACTGTTTAAAGGAGCCCTGTGAAGAATCATATTTTCAATAAAAAGTGTTCTCTCCTCTCGTTTGACAATATGGTAGCCCAGATTTAGGGGTATGGAATGCATATCTTAAAGAGAGGTGCCCTCATGTTGCTGGGACACTTGAGTCCAGAAAGAGCGGAGAACAGGTGGTGCTTGGGGGTGGGGAGTTGATAACTGGGGGTCACGGGCCCTGCCCAGTGCCCAGCTCCAGCCCTTCTAGCTCTGCTTTTTCTCCAAAGCACTCTCCTACCTGCCTTCCTCACTTTTTTGCAGTTTTTTTGCCTTGAGGTCTTTTGATTAGTCAAGGAAACAATAATCCCAGGTATCTTTCCAACCTCTAGACTCTAGTTCTTGATCTCTCCTTTCCAAGTTCTACCCCCGTCTTCCCCGTCGGAGGCATCTGGGTTCTCCCGAAGCTGCTGCCATTCATTTACCCCACTTTGTTCTCCGTTCGTGTTTGGACTCTGAGATTTTGAAAGCCACAGTCCAAGGAGGAATACAGTTGTGAGAGTATGTGTTTATTTCCCTTTTCTCGGTTACTTGCCTGTATCTTGCAACAGGCTTCCCAGGCTGCTGAGTGTTCATACACAGGAGTTGGTTTATTAATAGCTCGTACATTATCCCATTACTGCTAATTACACCTGTTTGTTGGCTGACTTCGACTCTGGGAAGTGCCTGAACTGGAGGGCTGTAGAATGTCCTTAGAGAGCCAAAGCCTCCAAAAGAGCATTACTGAAATTTCAGCTGCTCCCGGGATGGGGGGAAAGGGGGGAGGTGCTGGCTGAGGTGCCCTTAAGGTGCTGAGACAGCTGGTTTCAGGGCTCAGTGAAAGCAGGAATTAGGGGTAGCCGGGGAGGTCCACCTGGTTTTCTTTCTTTGTTTCTTTTATTTTTTGATATTTTGAGCAGGTCTGGAACAGACAGCTTCTCATATGGAATCTTCCCCTAATTACAACACAGAAAGAAAGTGAAAAGCAAGAAGTTTCTCACCATTTCTCCTGTCCCTGTTAAGTTTGATTCTTTCTAAAATCTTATTCTGGTGTATCCTGTTAATGAAAATAGGTTCACACTGTACATTTTTTATTCTGCCGCCATCTCTCCCCTGCTCCTTTTTAAAACTATGTTCTGGACATTTTTTGTGTGTTGACAAGTTCAGATTTGCTTCATTCTTCAATCAGCCTTGTGTGAATATTGCCTCTCCCTAATGGACGTTTCCATTGTTTCCAGTTTTCCACCATCACCACCAACAGTGTAAGAAGCATCCTTGCATGTTTGTGCCAGCCGCTTTCCTGTAGAAATACTCAGAGGAAAGGCAGACACTTTGAAACACTCATCAGCATTCCTCAAAAGCTCTGTGTTTTTAGCAGTTTTTAATATTCCAAAGTACTTGATAGAAATTGGGCATTAAACTGTAGCTGCACTGGTTAACTAAAACATTAACTTTCTTAGTGTTTGGCTGCAGAACTTGGATATATTAGGCTTATCAGTAAAACGGCAGGACATAATTGGCAGTTTTATGACTTCTGATGAACACAGAGAAGGTATTACTAATGAATCACATAGGGCAGTATATTTCAAAATATTGGGGCTGTTGAGAACAAAAAGTGGAAGATGACCTTGGTCCTGAGAGAGCCAGGGACTGTGGGCCTTCTAGACTACCCTTCAGTTTAGAGATCAGAGTTGTGCTGGTTGCTTGGTTCCCTTTGTCAGGTGCTGCCAAGAGGTAGTGACTGGGACTAATTGGACGGTCATGAAACTGGGAGTCTGGTCAGGGCCCTGACCTTGACTTTCTACTGCAGGACTGTGGGCCAAGCTCTTCCCTTTTCTGGGCCGCAGGTTTTCTGTCTACAGGAGGGAAGTTTTCACACACTCATTTCCTCTAAGTGTGTTTGTGAAGGAAAAGAAGTCTAAGATTGAGAAAGTGAGTTCAACCTTGCGTACAGAAGGCAGAAGAGAATTTCAGCTTTGAAACAGCTTTCCAAACTTTGTCAAGGGATGTGTTATAATATGGGCTTCCCTGGTAGCTCAGCTGGTAAAGAATCCACCTGTAATGCAGGCGACCCCAATTTGATTCCTGGGTCAGGAAGTTCCCCTGGAGAGGTGATAGGCTACCCAGTCCAGTATCCCTGGGCTTCCCTGGTGGCTCAGATGGTAAAAAATCCACCTGCAATGCGGGAGACCTGCAATGCGGGAGACCTGGGTTTGATCCCTGGGTTGGGAAGATCCCCTGGAGGAGGGTATGGCAACCCACTGCAGTATTCTTGCCTGGAGAGTCCCCATGGACAGAGGAGCCTGGTGAGCTACAGTCCATGGGGTCACAAAGAGCTGTATATGACTCAGTGACTAAGCACAGCATGTGTTATAATATATTGTGTCTGAAATTAATCAGCGTGAAGTGTCTACTATTCAGATTAAAGTGGTGATAGTTTTGTTTTTCAACAGGCAAGACAGAGTGTTCCCAGTACTGCCGATGGGGCAATTTGAGATAGACAGTATGGTTTAGTTTTGTCCTCGGGTAAATGAGCAGCCCTGTTGCAGCAGGTATGTGTGGGCGTGTCGCGGGCCGAGGGGGAGCTGCGCTGGGGGCCGCCAAGCGGAGTCCTTAGTACCCGGTGCTTCCTTTTGTTCTTAGCACTCTCTGTCCTGTTTGGTAAACATGGAGCAGCTGGCTCTCTGGCCGGCTTCAGAGCATCTCTCAGGGATCATCAGTTCATTTTCAGCTTCAGGGAGGGTAAGAGGACGTTTGGGGGAAGTGCGTAATGGGCTGGAAGGTGCGGGCCGAGCAGCACTGGAGGTGCGGGTAATGAGCCAAGCCACGGGGATTGGAAAGGGAGCGGCGCTGAGCTGGAGAAAGTAAAGACTTGGGAGGATTTCACTTCTGAAACCTGAGGCAACTGATCTGCCTGTTGGCGGTCAAAAGGTCAGGGATTAACATCAGCCGCGGCTGCAGCACAGGCATTTGCTTGCCCTTGTGCTCCCCATTGGGACAGAGATGAAAATTGCTTCTGTTGCTCATCCCCTACCTTGGAGGGGCTCCTGCTCAGGCCTGGGAGTTTTCCATGTCCCCAGTGGGTGAAGGGCTAAAAGCCAGCCCCTCTGACTCCAAGTCTGGGCATCCACCCCTCGCTCACTGCCAGGGCCCTGTTTGGCTACTGGGTACTTCTTGCCAAACACTCCTAGGAAACTCTTTTTCCTTCCAAGGTCTGTTCTCTACCCATGCCCCTTTGCCCACTTCTCCACTGAGACCTTTTTACCTTCCCTTCTCTAACAATGAAAGATGACATTCCCATCCAGGTACCACCGGTTTGCTGAATTGTTTATTAGCCTTCCAGGGTCGCCTTGTCCCAGGGAAGTGAAGCAGCAGCTACCTGCTGGATGCCTCTGGAAGATGGAGGTGCACGTGACTATCTCCCGTGCGATCTGTGCACAGGGCCTCCCTCGTGGGCGACGCAGAGTCTGAGTCCCTCCTGATGACCTGTGTTTGGGTCTTGGCCCCGGGGCTGTGACTGGCAGCGGGCAGGGCCCTCTTCCACCACTCCTTTGCAGGGTGGGCAGGGAGGGGCCGTGAGTAAGCCGATCCTCATCATAGGCTCTTTTTATGGGGAAAAGCTGATTCTGTGACTCAGTGTCTATCCTCAGGCGAGTCACCTGGCCTCTGAGCATCTGGTTTGCCCCTGCCTGCCCAGTGAGAGCTGTCTGTGCAAATGAGCATTCTTGAAATCTGTTTTCTAAGGAAGGGCAGACCAGTGGCTCTTCTGCTTCTAAACTGTCTTGCTTTCGTCTGGGCCTTTCAGGCAGCCTGGCCATAATGCCCTTGTGGGCCAGCTTTACCACGACGTTTCCTGAGGTCTAGTCAGATCCTGGGTCACACAGGCTTTGTGCTGTGCGTGCCAAGTCGCTTCAGTCGTGTTTCTTTGTGACCCTGTGGACCGTAGCCTTCCAGGCTTCTCTGTCCATGGGATTCTGCAGGCAGGAATACTGGAGTGGGTTGCCACTGTCTTCTCCAAAGGATTTTCCTGACCCAGGGATTGAATCTGGGTCTCCTGTGTCCGCAGGCAGATTCTTTACCATCTGAGCCACCCAGATAGACTTTGACACCATCTAAATCATTTAAAAGTTCTGGCTTGAACTCGTGGCCTGAGCACAAAGGCCCAAACAGGTTGAGGGCAGGATCTTCTTTCGATGCTCAAGGTAAGTCTTGCCTGTGGCTCTGAAGGGGTAGATGGGGCCCTCAGGACAGACAGTTTGTTGGATGAGTTCCTGGAGCCAGCTCAGCGCTGCACTGGTAGAATCTCCAGGCCCAAGGCCTTCCTTCATGGCGCCGTCACTTCCAAGTTACTGAATATTCTCAGTGCCGAGGAAGGTGCTGTGGCTACTGTCTTTCTAGTCCTGGCCACTTTTTCTTTCTCTTTCACCTTGTGCACCTCTGTGAAGACCTTGGACATGTGGAAAAGGCACATCTTAGTTTGGGTACTTTGTCTTTTAGGAGGTTCGCCTCGGTTTGCCTTTCCAGTCCTCTTGGACCCTGGCCTCACCGAGGTGAATGAGAATCAAACCAGGTTCTGATCATGAAGGCTTAGCCCCTTGCACACTCTTTACTTGGCCTCTCATTATTTACTTCTGTTCCGTTCCATTTCCTTTTAGCATGGGCATCTTACATGACAAACTCTCCAACCCTCATCGTTATGATTGGCTTACCAGCCCGTGGCAAAACCTACGTGTCCAAGAAGCTTACACGCTACCTCAACTGGATTGGTGTGCCCACCAAAGGTAGGTGCGGCTGTGCATTCTCTGGGAAAGGAAGTGATCAGCTCTGGGCCTCCCAGGCCTCTGGGAGACTTTGTGTCCCTGGCATCAAGGGTACAGGGTGCTCCTGGCAGCAACTGTGGTTTTCCTGGTTTACCAGCTTTATTCTCTAGCTATACACTTGTTCCTCCTGGCCTTGTCTGTATTGGCCTAATTTGGGAGGAATGCCTTTGATAGGAGTATTAAGAATTAAATTAAATTTACATTTCCAGAGCCCTTACATCTGCGTTATTTAGCAGTATCCCTGTGGAACAGCCAAAGTGGCTGAGAAAATTGAAAGTCAGATAATTTAAGACTTGTCCAGAGTCTGTTAAGTCAGAGCTTGAACTTAACCTGATTCTTAGTCTTGTGTTATTGCCAGCATACCATGGTGCTGTTTTCAGTCCCCTTGGCCACTCTGACATTAGATCGAGAAGTCCGCTTTGGGGCATTGTATTGTTTCACTGCTAAAGGTTGTGGGTGTCTTCTGCAGTGTTTAATCTTGGGGTGTATCGGCGGCAAGCAGTCAAGTCCTATAAGTCCTATGACTTCTTCAGGCATGACAACGAGGAGGCCATGAAGATTCGCAAGTGAGTCCTCTAGGCCTGACCACCAGGCCATCATGAGACTGGTTGTCACGGGGCTTGGTTTCCTTCTTGGTAAACACCTGGTGGGAATTTTAGGTGGAAGGTACCCACTGGGCGGATCACTGTGGCCTTGGGTGGGTAGAAGAACAGGACTCAGACAGTTGTGAGTGTTGTTGTAGGCTAAGCCTCCAGCGGGTGAGACATGTATGTGGGCCGGGGAACACACAAGATCCAGGAAGGTAGAAGAGTAACGGGGAAGTTGAAAGGTCAGATTGGAGAAAATTTTTGATCCGGGGGAAACTGAACAGAAGGGATGCGACCCCTGCGGCACCCTGGTGGTTCCCACCGGGAACCTGAGCTTGGTTCCTGTGCCTGAGCTTGGCCTTGGCTCCGTCCTCTGGCTGATTTCCTCCTCTGTCTTGGCAGACAGTGTGCCCTGGTGGCGCTGGAAGACGTGAAGGCATACCTCACGGAGGAGAGCGGGCAGATTGCAGTAAGCCTGACCTGCCTCTTCCCCGTCTCCACCCCCATAGCAGCCTCGCTGCGCCGCTCCGCCCTGGGCCCAGCTCGGTGGGACTGTATTTCCCGGTCCCCATTCCTCTGCCCCACGGGCTCTCTTCCTAGGTGTTTGATGCCACCAATACCACTCGGGAGAGGAGGGACTTGATTTTGAACTTTGCCGAGGAGAATTCCTTCAAGGTAGGGTCTGCCTCCAAGCTGGAGGAAGCGGAGGGTCGGTGGAGGTGGGGAGTTAGGTGGCAGTATGGACCTGCTTGACTCTGGTGGGTAAGGTCAGGACCGGATGCCCGATTCTCTCGTCTTGCTGCCTTACCCCCAAACCTGAGTGTTTTCTTTCAGGTCATTTCTCAGATCCTTAGCATGTATGTATGAGGCCATGGGGATATGGTAAGAGCTATTTTTAAATGAAGAGTGATCGAAGGCCACTTTTATAAAGAAAAATCTCTGGGGGATGTGGTGGCTGGGGTGGGCCAAGTGTGAACGTGTGCTGTTAATGGACAGCCTGGCCATTTCTGACTCACTGATCACTGCCTTCCCCCCTGGGCAGGTGTTCTTTGTGGAGTCCGTCTGCGATGATCCTGACGTCATTGCTGCCAACATCCTGGTAGGTGAGCCCCTTGCACACACCTCTCTATGCCTTGTGTGTGTTTGTGGTTGGGGGTGGGTGGAGGGTCAGCTTGGTAATGAAAGTGAGAGAGACATGTTTAGCCGCACAGGGTGAGCTCTTAGATCTGCCCGGACCACATTTTATACTTCTAGCCTCTTTCCTTGGGAGAAGAAGCAGGCTTTAAGGAATAAAGTAAGAATTAGCTGTTGAATATAGAGGCTCGTCTTAAACTGTAGGAGTCTTGGCTCTGTATTCTGGGTGTTAGCTAAGTGCTGAAGCCTAGGTATGTTCTTAGAATGGATCAGACTCTTCATGATCTGTCTGGGGCACCTTCCAGGAAGGTCGTCTGCTCAGCAGTTGTCCAACGTTCAGGTCAGCGGTCTGGGGTCACAGCTCATGCCTGTGCCCATTCGATGGCTGTGCCGTGCCGTGCTGGTGGACGCCCATGCATCGGGTTGTGGTGGAGGTCTCCCAGCAGTGTGGGGACTTGCCCAAGAGGTGTCTGGCCCGAGTCAGCCAGGCGTCAGATCATGCAGCTTATTCTAAGTGCCCGTGGGAGAAACTGAACCCCATTCTGTTTTCCCAGGAGGGTACATGAAGGGACTGGAGCCCGCGAGCTGCTTCGGCTGTGTGGCTGCCTCTGTCCTGCAGCCAAGGGCAGGCGCCTGACCCCCAGTTGTCTGTCCCTTCTTGGCTGCCAGGCCCACAGGACGGGGGCGGGTGCTGCTCAGTGAACGGGGTCGCCGGCGCCCGTGAAAGGCCTCTCCTCCGGCCTCCTTTGCTTTATTTAGCAGGGGCTGTTTGCAGGAGTGCTGGTGCAGGCAGACCTGTGAGCGGGCCCTGCTCTTCCTGTGATTCCAGGAGGTGAAGGTGTCGAGTCCTGACTACCCTGAAAGGAACAGGGAGAATGTGATGGATGACTTCCTGAAGAGGATTGAGTGCTACAAAGTCACCTATCAGCCCCTCGACCCAGACAGCCATGACAAGTAAGGTTTGAGGCTGAGGTCTGCGGGCCGCGGCAGAGAGGAGCCTTTCTCACGCTGTCTGTAGACTTCCCTCTGACCATCCAGACCTGTGTTTACATCATTCCAGGGAGAAAGATAAGGCTCTGTGGCCTGTGAACGGATTGAGTCTTATACTTGAACACCGCAGTGTTTTTTTTATCATAAGTTCTTCAGTTGTGTGCTCTAGACTATGATTTCTCAATCTCAGCATGATGGACATTTTGAACTGGATAATTTCTGCCGTGGGGAGCTGTCTTGGGCACTGTAGGAGCTTTTGCAGCATCCCTGCCCTCTGCCGCTAGATACCCATAGCTGTTCCAAGCTGTGACAATCAAAAAGGTTTCCAGACTTAACCAAATGTCCCCTGGGGAGCTAGCTCACCCCTGGCTGAGAGCCACTGCTCTAGGTCAGTAGTGTTGAATTGGGGTGTTGTACGGCGCCCCTTTAAGATGTGCAGCCAGCTTTTGATCAGTTTTTAAAGTTTATTGTGTATGTGTATGTATGCATGTGTGTATATATTACATATGTAAATAATATAACATGTCAATTTATTTTGTGTAAAACATAATCTATTATACGTGTGTAGGAGGCTTCCCTGGTGGTTCAGTGGTAAAGAATCCTTCTGCCAGTGCAGGAGACCTGGGTTCGTTCCCTGGGTCGGGAAGACCCCCTGGAGGAGGGCATGGCGACCCACTTCAGTTTTCTTGCCTGGCCGATCCCATGAACAGAGGAGCCTGGCGGGCTACAGTCCATAGAGTCACAAAGACTCAGACACGACTAAGCAACTAAGCACCCCACCCCCGACACACACACACACACACACACACACACACACACATGTTGTTGTTGTCTAGTTGCTCAATTGTTTCTGACCCTTTGTGACCCCATGGACTGTAGCCTGCCAGGCTCCTGTCCATGGAAATTCTCCAGGCAAGAATACTGGAGTGGGTTGTCATGCCCTCCTCCAGGGGATCTTCCCGACCCAGGGTTGAAACACAGGTCTCCTGCATTGCGGGTGGTTTCTTTACCATCTCAGCCACCAGGGAAGTCCAAGAACACTGGAGTGGGCAGCCTTTCCCTTCTCCAGGGGATCCTCCCGACCCAGGAGTCAAAGCGGGGTCTCCTGCCTTGCAGGTGGATTCTTCACCAGCTGAACCACCAGGGAAGGCTATACACATATATATATATATATGGCTTGTATATATTACTTAGCATGGCAGTACCTATCGGCAATGTGGCCTGGAATGCAGGTTAAGTTGATGTGTGAGAGCGATAGGACTTGTAGCAAAATGCCGAGTCCATGTTGAAGAATGATATGTGCACAGGGAGACCCATGAGAAGGTGGTCTTCATAAAAGCGTGTAGTCAGAGCAGCTCTATTCAGATGAGAATACAGCTCTGCAGCCCAGCAAATGGTGAGTGTGCATAGCCCATTGTTAAATTGCTTCAGTGGTCTGCTTCTTGTTTTTAGTCTTTCAGTTCCTCCCAGTGTGTTGCCCACAATGTTACTGTTTGGAGATGTTACTTAATACAGAAATTGAAAACTACTGCTCTAGATATGGCATAATAGTATATTCTTTAGTTAGCCCAAAGTCCTACATTGAACAATATTCAAGGAGAATATGTGTGTGTGTTTATAGATGTTACCTCTGGTGGTAGGGTTATGGGTGATTTTTATTTGCCTCTTTCTTTTAAAAATTTTTTTGGCATAAGCAGCTACTATTTTTTAGGTAGTTTTATATATTTTCAGCTGTGCTGGGTCGTCGTCGCAGTGCACGCTTTTTTCTGGCTGTGACAAGCGGGGGCTGCTCTAGTTTCGGTGTGTGGGCTTCTCACTGTGGCGGCTTCTCTTGCTGCCGAACGCGGGCTCTGGGGGGCGTAGGCTTCAGTGGTTGTCACGTGAGGGCTCAGCAGCTGTGGGCTTTAAACCACAGGCTCAGTGGTTGGGGCACACAGGTTTAGCTGCTCTGAGGCCTGAGAGGTCTTCCCAGACCAGGGATCAAACCTGTGTCTCCTGGCCTGGCAGGTGGGTTCTTCAGCGCTGAGCCACAAGGGAAGCCCCACACTTGTTTTTCTGTGAGAAAAACTCCATGATGTGGCCCCAGAGCGGGCTTTGTGAGTGCCTTTGAGAGAAGCTTGACTGGCAGGTGGGCGGAGGGAGCGCGCAGAGACGTCTGTCTGTGGTTTTGTTCCCTCCTCCCTGCCCCTCCCCTCAAGGGGATGCCGTACACTGACTCTGTCTTGACCACCTGAGTTGGACGCTGTGCTTCTCAGCAAACTTCAGGGTTACCAGAATCACCAGATCATCTAGTCTAGCCCCAGAGGGGAGGCCTGAGCTCTGCTCAGCACACTTAGCCACAGTGCCTGGCTCTGCCCGATGAGAAGCTCGGGACATTTTGCTGCACCTTGGTTCTGAGGAGCGAGCGACCCGTCTCTTTCCACTTGGCTCCTTCCACGTGGGTGGGGGTATCACGGGAGAGACGGAAGAGCCTCTAGGGGCCTCACGTCACTCTGCAGTTGCCCTCCTGTCATCCTCAGATTTTCATACCCAGGGATTGTTTTCCCCTGCTTTGTCCCAGGGATCTTTCTTTCATCAAGGTGATAAATGTGGGCCAGCGATTTCTTGTGAACAAAGTCCAGGACTACATCCAGAGCAAGATCGTCTACTACCTCATGAATATCCACGTCCACCCTCGCACCATCTACCTCTGCCGGCACGGCGAGAGCGAGTTCAACCTCGTGGGGAAGATTGGGGGTGACTCAGGCCTCTCGGCGCGAGGGAAACAGGTGAGTAGGCAGCCAGCGGGCTGGGTGTCCCAGGCTCAGGGTGAGCGGGACATGCTGGAGGTCATCTCTTTGATCCCCTTAACTTCTTACTGAATCCTATTAGGCTTAAGTTGCAATTTCAGTGAAGAGACGTGTTCTTGTTCATGCATTCTAGTTCAGCACTGGAAGGTGCATAACCTGGAACCATTTCTGCTGTGATCATTCAGCCGTTGGACATTTATTGGGCTCAGCTTGTATGCCCTGCACAGTACAGGGTGCTCTGGTTGAAGTTCATTTCCTCCTGGGGCTATTATAACTATGTAGCACCTTTCAGAGTTTGATTGGGGTCATGCACATTGTCCTTTTTAGGTTGAATTAGCAGTCCTCTGTGTGTGTGTTTTCATTTCGACTTCACCATGCCTGGCATGCAGGATCTTAATTCCTCAACCAGGGGTCAGACCTGTGCCCCGTGCAGTGGAAGCTTCGAGTGCTAACCACTGAGCACCAGAGAAGTCCGCTTCTGTGTTTTCTTTTACATCTTTTGTTTCATGCCCCAGTTTGCCCAGGCTCTAAGGAAGTTCCTGGAGGAACAGGAGATAGCAGACCTCAAAGTGTGGACAAGCCAGTTGAAGAGGACAATCCAGACCGCTGAATCTCTGGGGGTGACCTACGAGCAGTGGAAGATTCTGAACGAGATTGATGCTGTGAGTAGGAAGCTCTGATGGCTAAAACGCCAGTTAAGGGCTCCTGTTCAGGCTGGAACTCTCAGAAGTCACCACGTGGGCTGTGCTATCTAGAAAACTAGAATTGCCAAGTAGAGACGTTTAGGAAGCTGAATCTGTGGCTGGTCTGAGGAGGAAGTGAGAACAGCTGTGTCCCCAGTCTGGGCTTCCTGCCTGCCTGATGTACCTGTGCCAACTCCCAAACCAATTTTTGACATGGCCTCTGGCACCTGGGAGCATGAAGCTCCAGTTGGTTCCTTCATATATTTTCCTCCTAGGGAAAGGAAATAACTGACAACTCACATCTTGTCTGATTTCTGCTTAGGTAACTTGGTCAGCTCTTCTAGAAAAGTCCTTTCCAAATTTGTTTTTGCGTTTCTCTGTCCTTGAGGTCAGAAGTAGACACTTCCTTTTCTTTCCGTCCTCTGTATCCTTTTATGCCTCCTGTAGGAATTCCGCAGGGCCTGGAGTTTCCCTCTGTCCCTGTCTCCCCTCCTTCTTCCTGCTGACTTTTCTTGACCTCTCAGTCCCCAGCCACAGGAGAAAGTGGCAGCTTGAGCTTCAGCCCTCACTCTGCGCGTCGGTCAGTTACAGTGTGTGAGGGAGCCGGCCCCGTGCCTGGCGCTGACGACTGACACTCCTCAGGGTCACCTCTTCCTCTGGGGGGCTGTGTGTCCGATCGCCTCTCCGAGCTGTGTGGTTCCTGCAGGGCGTGTGCGAGGAGATGACTTACGCAGAGATTCAGGAGCAGTACCCGGACGAGTTTGCCCTTCGGGATGAAGAGAAATATCTATACCGATATCCTGGAGGGGAGGTGAGATCCCTTTCCCGTGGGCTGACTATTCCATCCTTTGCTTGGGGTTTAGCTTTAATTTGGGGGAAGGATTGAATGTGAGTTTGGGGACCTTCCAGGGGTGCTTAAGTTATCACTTAGTTTTTCTTCCTACTTTTGGGTCCTACTGTGTTTAATTCAGCTCAGGCAGTTCAATTTGTTAAGATCCCCAGGTAAGGGATGACAAGATAGCCTCTGTTGTTGAGTACATTTTAGAATCAGCAGAATCTTTTTTAACTTTTTTTAAAAAATACTTCTTTTTTATTTATTTGACGGCGTTTGGTCTCAGTCGCAGCACGTGGGATCTCACAGTGCGGCAAGCGTTGTTTGCACAGCCTTCTCTCTAGTTGTGGCCGTGAGTGTAAGCTTCCCGTGGCATGTGTGATCTTATTTCACTTCAGTGACCAGCGATCAAACCTGCGTCCCCTACATTGCAAGGCTAATTCTTAACCATTGGACCACCAGGGAAGTCCCCATCACTTTTTTTTTTATTCCATCCCCACCCAAGCAGGTATAGGCACCAAGTAAATATATGGGGTATGAAGGATTTTCCTGTCATCTACGGTGTTTACGACGGCTTGCTGGTCTAAGTGGCTTCATAGTCTAGGGATGTGTGAGGCAAAGGGAAACAAAATAAATTTATAGGGTCTAGGAAATCCCTAGGAGCCTCTGTTGCCTTATACTCTGCCTACTCTGTAGAGAGAAAAAAATTCAAGACACACTTTGTGTTCAGATTTTCCTTTCTTGATGTGCAGTTTTCTTGGTCTGCATATAGCTCTTGAAGGGTCTGAAGATTCTCAGGAGATACTGGGGATGGGGGTGGTTAGCAGGCGACACGAAGCTGCTGAACCTCCAGGAGGAAAGCCATCTGGGGAGAAAGAAGCGGCCTCTGAACTCTGGACATGGCCACTGACTTGGCTGCCAGCTCGCGCCTGGCCTCCGACCAGCCCGCCCCGTTTCCCCCGCAGTCGTACCAGGATCTGGTGCAGCGGTTGGAGCCGGTCATCATGGAGCTGGAGCGCCAGGGCAATGTCCTCGTCATCTCCCACCAGGCTGTCATGCGCTGCCTTCTGGCCTACTTCTTGGACAAGGGCGCAGGTGCCATGGCGGGGGTGGGGAGGCTGGACTGGGGGTGGCACTGGGATACCTNGGGGGTGGGGAGGCTGGACTGGGGGTGGCACTGGGATACCTGGCAACCAGACCTCCCCCCTTGCACTCAGACTGGAGTGCATTCTTCAGTCGGCAGTGTGGGGCTCCCAGCAGCCTCGGGGCCAACCCCTCTGCTGGTGCGAAAGTCCCCAGTGGAGAGGGGCTGCTGCTGGGGCTCTTGGTCCTGCTTGTCTGGAGCGGCAGCATTGAGCTCACACGCCTGGCAGCAGTAGAAAAGTGCTTGGACATTCCCGGCGTGTTACTTGAGCTCCAGGGAGGGTGGTGTCTTAGAAGCATCTTTATCCTTGGGATTCGGGGTAGACAGGTTTCTGGGGTAGCAGTAAGGAAGTGCTCCTGCATCTTCTTTGATACGCCCCTTCCTTCCCTTCCTGATCTTCCTACACTGCTGAGAAGCCTGCACACTGACCTCTGGTGTACCCACCTGAGCCCCAGTCTTCCCTTCGTGGGTCCCCTGGACACAGCACTTACTCCTGTTTTGCCTGCAAGGAAGGATCTAAAGTGGGCTTATTTCCTTTCTGAGACACGCAGTAGTCTGGGTGGCTTTCTTGGCGGCCGTGTTGATAATTATCGGGTTTAGAGGAGGAGTTGTCCAACTCCAGGTCAGGGTAAAGAAAACTCATGAGCCCCTTAGATGCTGTCTTCCACTAACTTGACCTTGTTTCATAACACTGAGATTTCCTCCACCTGGACTTTCCACTTTCAGATGAGCTGCCGTACCTGAGGTGTCCTCTGCACACCATCTTCAGACTTACTCCCGTGGCCTACGGTAACCATGAGCCTGGGAACGGGCAGGAGGTGGGGCTTGGGGAAGGTCAGGATTTTAAATTTTCTGTAAGTTCGCCTAGAAGTTCTCTTCATCGCTCCTGTATACCGGGGAGGTTCCCTCAGTCCTTCGGTTTTTGAAAGGATGTATGTATGTATTTGGGTATATCTGTGTTCTTTAATTACCAAACTGAAACATAAGGGCTTTTTCTTGAAGCTTTTTTTTCCTGAAGTTCTCTCTGTTTTCTCAGGGTGCAAAGTGGAAACAATTAAACTCAATGTGGAGGCTGTGAACACTCACCGTGACAAGCCAACTGTAAGTATTTTTCCATGGATGACATGCAGGTTCCCTGCCACCTTGAGTCTTGAATCTTTGACATCGAGAGACGGGGGTTTCTTTTATGTCCAGAAGGAAAAACAGATCCAGAACTCATGTCCCACGTAGTCTGCTTACTTCCCAAAGGAAGAGATGTTGGAATCACTATTTTTGAAAATTAGTATCTCTTTCATGAGTCTTAACCTTGACAGTTGGCTCTTGGAAATCCAATGAAATACGGAAAGTGTTTGGCAGAAGTGAAATGCAAATATCGCCTCTTCCCCCCCTAGTAAGCGCTCCTTTTGGAAAGTAGGTTCCTGGAAGGTGGGGTCAGGAAGTGTAGGTTAGTTCCTAGGTCTGCCCTGGTAATCTGAGTGATCTTAAATAAGCCCATTCCTTTCTTTGAGCCTCTCTCTTGCTTCAAAGTGTGATGCTCAAGGAACTTCTCCCCCCTACAACCCTTTAGCTTCCCAGGGCTGGGGGACTAGGCCATGGCCCAGGTCTTACGAGAGAGCCTGTCTGCGGAGGAGCAGGAGTGGAGGAGGCTGTTTGGTTACAAGCGTTGTTTAACCTTGATGAGTGAGCTTTTGGCTTGGCTTTCATTTGTGTGGTGTCCCTCGTTTCCAATCAGAACAACTTTCCCAAGAGCCAAACCCCTGTAAGGATGAGAAGGAACAGCTTTACGCCTCTGTCCAGTTCGAATACAATCAGGCGTCCAAGAAATTACAGTGTTGGGAGCCGGCCCCTCCAGCCCCTCAGCCCGCTCCGTGCCCTGGACACGCAAGAAGGGGCCGACCAGCCGAAGACCCAAGTCAGCATTCCGGTGGTGTAACCGTGTGTCTCCCTCCCATCCTGGCCCCCTGCCCTTGTCACTAATCTCCGAGGAGTCGTGTCACCTCCAGCCCCCATACCCCCTCCCGGCCCCACACCGTGAATCTCAGCCAAGAATGCGAGGTCACGTGTTTCCAGACCAACCTTAGCTAGTCCGCGGTGTGAGCCGTCTCCCTGCCCGGGGGCAAGCTGGCGAGCTGGGTGTTTCAGGACAGGTTGGGGCGGTTTGGAGGAGGAGGAGAAGGGCTCCCCTCTCCTGGGGTGACTGGCACAGCTGGGGCTGAGGCTGAGTATGCCATGCTCCTGTCCGTCCACGGTGTCTGTACACTCAGTCACGTCCTCGTGCTGGTGGAGTGGGGGCGGGGTGGAGGGGACCCGGCAGCCCCTGTCCCCTCCGCCTTTGTCTCCCCGAGGTGTGCCCCCTCCCCGTCTGTGCCTGCCTGCTCTCTCCCCCCCTCACGTCCCCTTTGGGTTGTCCGGTGTGGTGCGTTCCTCCTGTGTGTCTGCTGAGGACGGGAGGGGCGGTGGGTGCGAGGGGAGTCCGGCCCCTGTTGCGTTCTCTGCAGTGGGCCTCGGTGGATCTGGCCTGGGGGAGCCTTCCTTTTCCCTTCTCCCTTCCTCTGAAGTCAGGTCCTGCAGGGGTCAGCCCAGGCCTGACAGAACATCCACAGAGGCTCTGAAGCCTGCAGGGAGACACAGGATGAGAATTCTTGTCCCCTTTCATGGGAAACAGTCCTGAAGGCTCCAGTGCCCTGAGGGAGTCTGGCTCTCAGTCTGAGAGAAATGCCTTGGTTTGTCCTTTTCAGACGTAGGTTTCTAGGCTGCAGCGGGGTGAGGTGTGGGCGAGTAGGCTGGTCTCTAGCTCTTGTAGGGCCCTTGGAGGGCAGGCATCTCTTTTCTCCAGTGGCTCCCAGCTTCTTTGCCAACCACAGGAACTTCCCTGCCAAAGCCAGTGACCTCTGTCTGGGACTGTTCAGAGGAACAGAGTTAGATTCAGGAGTCATTGCTGAGGTTTGAATTGCTCAAGGGATAGAGAAGCGTTCATGCTGTTTCCTAGTAACATTCAACACTATTCCTTTATTTAACTTAAAAACCAATATTCAATATTGAATATTGGCTTTTAAGTTAAAAAAATTTTTATGTGAACAAATTTTCCCCTAAATGTTGTGAAAACCTAGTGTTAAATGTAATCTCCCTCACTAAAGGTACTGTTCTATTTCATCTTGATGTCCAGAGGAGTCTTGGAATCCAGTGGGATCTAGCTCTTAACTATTTACTTGTATCATTTTATATTCTCTGCAGAGTTAACCTGGAGATGCTTAGAGTAGCGATTCCTAGCTCCTTGGTGGCCCTCGATGGCATACCGCCCCCCCCCCCCCCCCNAAGTCACCCCTTCATTGTTACTTCAGGCAGTAGCCTGTTCAGCTTTCACCTTTTTACAGCGCAGGGCAATGTGGAACAGATCTCTGCATCATATAGATGACCTGTGATAGCAGCTGAGAGCTTTAAGCACACTGGAGAGAAGGACTGAGATGAAACATGTGGGGTGATAAGGCTTATCATCACAGGCAGCTGGCTTGTGACCTTGAGTTCTTTATTCCTACATCCTAAGTAGGTCGGACATCACAGCCAGTTTTCAAAGGTCACTTGCCTAGATTCTGCTTGAAATTGCCTTCCGGACGTAAGGTAACCTGCTCTTCCTGTTGAGGCATTATATAATGTGTGGTTGGTGTCCGTGTTTGTGGAGCTTTGGGCTGGGTGGCTGGTGGTGGAGGAAGGAGGCACAAACAGGAGAAAAGGTCCTTGCCCTGAAGAGGGTTGTTTTAGAGAAGGGGCATGTGATTTATAATAAACAAAGAGTGGTGAAAGAGCAACACACTGCGTCTATGAACGTGGGTGTCGAAGTGGAGCAGGGAGTTCCTTCTGCCTTTTCTCTTGTCCTCCGCTTGTGAGACAGAGGGTTGGGAGGTGGGACTGTCCCCCAGGATGATGTGGTCTGGGAGATGTGTGTGGCACTTTTGCAAGGCTGCTTTGTCTAGCTTTGCTTGGCTGGTGGCATCTTTAGCCCAAATGGGCATTCGGCCTGTCTGTTGCTGTGAAGTGAGTGATTCAGAGCTAATGTGTGAGAAAGAGCATTTTGATCCCCAGCTGGCTTTGGGCTGTTTGTACTCTTAGTGAGAAGAGAACTCTCTAACTAACCAGCATCGTGTTACCCTGTTACAAACCCCTGCATTAGACGCAGGGCACTGGGGCGTTAACTGGGGCCCTCGGCCTGCTGATATTTTGCCACCCCCCCCCCCAGTGTGCCAGTTTGCTTCCCCAAGAAGAGAAGCCAGAGGTGGGCTCAATCTCATAATGGACACCAGAAATTAGAACTTGACAGTGGCAAGGATTTCAGCATCCTTTGGTTTTTAGAGCAAGATCCCTCCAGAGAAGCTTCAGCAGGAAGTCAGGAGGGCCTAGAATGGAATAGAGCTTTTACTCCACATATTAAGAGGAACTCCGCTCCCTGTCTGTTCTCTCCTGTCCTCTCCCCTTCTCACCTGAGTGTGTGCTATGCTGGGCTTAGTGGCTCAGTTGTGTCCGACTCTTTGCGACCCCATGGACTGTAGCCTACCAGGCTGCTCTGTCCATGGGGATGCTCCAGGCAAGAATACTGCCATGCCTTCCTCCAGGAGATCTTTCCATCCCAGGGGTCGAACCCAGATTGCCCACATTGCAGGCAGATTCTTTACTGCTTGAGCCAGCAGGGAAGCCCATGTGCACGTGTATTGGTAATATATACACGTTACTATGATTGTGTCTCCATCACAAACCCTAATAAGAAAGGACAAACTCCAGAGCACCTTTTGTTGAGGCTTTCAGTTATGCTGGGCTTCCCTTGTGGCTCCACTGGTAAAGAAGCCGTCTGCAACGCGGGAGACCTGGGATTCAGTCCCTGGGTTGGGAAGATCCCCTGGAGAAGGGAAAGGCTCCCCACTCCAGTATTCTGGCCTGGAGAATTCCGTGGACTCTATAGTCCATGAGGTCACAAAGAGTTGGACACGACTGAGTGACTTTCACTTCAGCTATGTTATGGGAGAAATAGGTGAAGTCTTTAACATTTAATCTATTGTTAGAAAATGGGGAAAGGAAAAATCACTGTCTATTCAATTATCTTTTTTCTGCTTTAAAACTGAATGAGAGATTCTGTGACAGATTTGAAGAGGAAACTAAAACAGATTAGAGAGCTTTTTTTTTTTTCCTGTATCTTAATCCTTAAATGGAATTTAGCTCTTATTTATTATTTGTATTGTCTTTGCTTTGGTTTTGATAAGGAGATTGTTTTGCATTCAATTAGTAAGTGCAGTAAGAAAAGCTTTTAAAAGATACATTGTTCTAGGTGTCTGCTCCATATCCATGTCTCTGGTTTTTGTTTTTTGTGTGTTTTTTTGTCCTCCCTCCCCGGTCGGGAAGACCCCCTGGAGAAGGAAGTGGCAACCCACTCTGGTACTCTTGCCTGGGAAATCCCAAGAACGGAGGAGTGTGGTAGGCTACAGTCCATGCGGTCGCAAAGAGTTGGATATGACGGAGCAACTTCACTTTCACTTTACGTGAACCCTCAAGAAGTTAGGGTTAGGAGAACAAAATATTTGTACCCTACCTAAATGGTTGAGTGTTTCCTGTGAGGTTCTGGGTGTTCCTCTTTACAACCCACATTTGATCTTCAAAGGCACTGGCAGTTTGAAGAAACAGGATGTAGCTGTTTGGAAATAAATCCACCTTATGATGTCTCTGCAAGTAGGAGCTCTGCACCAGAGAAACTCACTGGTGCTCGGCATGGCCCAGGGACAGGGGAGCCCATGTCTAATCACTGAGGGAGCTCTGTCTGGGTTGTGTAGTCTTGTGCACGTTCCATCATCTTTGCTAAGCCCAGAAGCCATGTTGTGTTTGTTTTCCAGAAATTTCATAACTTTACACAGGTTTTCAGTATACATTTTAAAATGTTTCAGTTTGAATTAGGTATTTTAATTTTCTTGGAGTTAAGTATTTTAGTTTTAATCTGATTTACAGTTGATTCAGATTGCAGCATTGGCAGGGTTGAGCTCTGACTTGCGATTGAGGTGACACAAATATCAAAAGTATGTCCAGGGGTTTAATTTAGACTCATCATGTTCAGAACACTGTATCTAGAAGTATTTATATGCTAACTGCCTGAGAGACTGTGGTAGGGTCCCTAGCTGGCTGACTGGCTCTGCTAAGATCTGTAATATGACAGTCTGACTGTTTTCTAATTGTACTGGTTGACACTGTATGCATGTTACTGTAATTCTCTATTGCACATGTCCTACAAAGGAAGGAAGTTTCTTCAGGGGGAAGTTCTGTACACTATGATTTTCAGTAGACATTTTCTTTTAGAGTAGCAGCCAAACTCTAATCATTTAATAGAAAGTGAATGTTGAACATCACTTGTAAGGTATTTCTTAAACTGAGCTAAGGAGGTGTGAGCTCAAAGCCTGATATCACTGCCTTTGCTGAAGTCATCCTATCCATCCCCCCATTTCTAGGCAGGATCTCACTTTCTGAACTTCCTGTATCCTCGGCCTCCTTGTGATGGGCTGTAGCATTCCATTGGATAATGCTGCTGTTTTTAGTCTGCCATCCACTTGGCTCTAAATCATAATCTAATTAATAAAAATGTAAAGGAAATTTTGGCAAAAGTATTTTTTTCAGTAAGCCTTTCACTGGGGACCCATGACTCATTGATCTTTGTACATGAATTGTTTGTGTGTATATGTATTTTTCTTGTGTAACAAGAAGTAACAAGATCAATTCATTCTGATATGGTGGTAGTTTTCCTGTGGCAAAAGCAAAGGCGTGGTCACCAGCTGCGCCCTCTGGAGGGGCTGGGAATGGGCTGAGCGCGCCTGGGTTACGATGCTCACTGGGTTATCGGCCTGGAACGGACTGAATTGGGAACCTCACCCAGTAGAGCTGCCCTCCGGGTTTCCCAGGCAGAGCTCTGTTGAAAGAAGGAATGTAAACCCTTGGCAGCATTCTAATTTAATCTGGTGACATTGATGTTAAAATATGGCACTCAGATCCTCAGGTATATAAATGTATTTGAAATGTGTTTTTGTGTGTGTGTGTGTGTGTAGAATGGGTAAATAAAATTGTTGAGTAACTTGAATCTCTCAGAAGCCTTCTGGGTTTTTTGTTTTGTATTTTGGGTTGTGTTCCCCACCCACTCCCGGACCCCCAGAACTTTGCCACAGACTACTTGATGATTGAGCCTCAGACAAGCCAAAGCCGGGCCACAGTGACTGGAGTGCTTGGTGGAGGCGTGGCTCTCTTGCACCCCCTGGTGGGGAATATAAGAAGGACGTTATAGAAGGCACCTGGGCGTTGTGTGTACTTTCTGGTGCCTCTACCTGAATTAAGGGAAAATTACCTTTGAGTTTTTTCAAATCATAAAAGGACTCTGTGCTGTGACTCACACTAGCAACATGGGACTCATTGTTGGGGAAAAAAAAAAACCAAACTTTGGAGATCACTTAGAATTTAGTGGACGGTTCCTTCTAAAATGTGAGCTTCCTGTTTAAAAGAGATTAAGATTTCTTTAAAAGAGATTACAGCCAGTGGAATTAAATGACATTTAACCGCTTCTGGGATAGGAAAAACAGATGGCAGTGTGCCACTATTCTCATGCTTGATTCCTTGTTATGTTAACAAGGAAATAGGGGCTCATTAGCCATGTAGGCTCTTGGATCTCACCCCAGGCCTGTTGAATCAGAATCTTCCTGGATGACCAGGCAGTTCAGATGCACATTTAACACTTAGGACACTCTTCTAGGGGGAGGAATTTCTCACAAGGTTGAGTATTGGATCTCAGTTTATGGGTGAAACTTGGTTTCTGCTCTGATGACCGATTTCAGGATGGACCCTCCTCAGAAGCCAAGGAGCCCCTGCCCGCCGCAATATCACTGTTTTTGGCCTGGGCTTTTGGCCGCTGTAGCTCTGCGTACTTTAACCACGGGGCCCTGACCGCTTTCACCTCCTGCCTTGGGTCTGGAAGGAGTGCCTGGTCCAACGTGGTCCCAAGGGTCAGCTTCCTCAGGGAAAGAAGCCCGGGGCGAGTCCTTGCGAGTCTGCCTGATTCCCAAGAGGAGAGAGAAGTGTGCAGCCCCGTCAGCGTGTCCAGCGTGTGTGGGCGTCGGGGGAGGTGCTGTGGGCACTGGGGGCACCGGCAGGGCAAGGGAGGGGTTCCGCTCGACTTCCTGCATTCGTGCCTGGGCGGTGGTGTAACGCCTGTGTCTCTCTTCCTCTCCGGCTCCTAGGCAGAGACCTCGCGGGCCGCGCACAGGCTCCCATCTCCGGCGCCCCCTGCGTCGCCCTCCTGATGGTGTGGAGGCTGAGGCCAGACGGCTCCCGGAGACTGGGGTCTGCTGAAGACCTGGGCGTGTCAGCTCCACTGGGGCTGGAGCAGGAAGCTCCGTGGGGCGTGGACATTCGGGGCCGCGCGAGTGAGCCTGGAAAAGGTGCCCCGCATTTCTTCCCTCATGCCTAATGGAAACGTCAGTCACCCTGAAAGGCTCGGCTTCCCTGTGCCTGCAAACATTTCACAGCCTGAGCTGATGTGTTTTGATCATCTCTCTGCTGGGTTTGGCCCATGTTGGCCAGTCCTGTTCTGTTTCAGCAATTTAACATCTGACCAGTGACTGTCCCCGTGGCTGGATATTCTTTGCCTAATGTACAGATGCAGTGCTTCAGATTTAGTTGTTTCCACGAGAGAGGGCTGACCCGCACACCTTTTCTGTGCTGTAAGAGCTGGGCTCTGCATCCATTCCAGGTGCACAGGCTAGAGTGTAATAGGTCGCTTATTCCGTCACATCGGAAGCAAGAGGCAAATTCACCAGGCGGATGGAGGGTATCTGAGAAATCTAGTCCCCGAAAGGTCTCTTCTGTGGCGATGGAAGAGCAGCATCAGGAGCCACCTTTTCATCTAGAGAAATTGTTCTCGTTCCAGGCCCCTTGAGGGCAGGATCTGACTGCAAGACTCCCTGAAGTGGGTGCCCTTCTGAGTTCTGTTCTGGAGCAGCTGTGCTCTCTACCGATAACTGATAACTGTGTGCCTCTCAAAGTTTAAGAGGGCTGATGTCATCTCTTTGGTGGTTGGGAATGCGGGATGGAGAGAAAAGTAGGGTGCCATTTGGATCACCTGAAGTAAATGAAGTTTCCTTGGGCATCACCTCTCCCAGGGAGTTGCTTCGGTGTCGAGACAGGTGCAGGGAGACCTGCCCTTTAGTGAGGTCTGCTGCCGTGATACAGTAGCTAAGAAAGCTGTGGCTGTGACTTCAAGAGCATCTGGCCTTCTAATCCCTTCCTCTTGGCTAGTTGTCACCATTGTAGTCTGCTGGTCTCTCATGTAGAACCTTGGTTGCCCAATTCCCCACCTCAGTGCATTAATCGTGTGGATTCCCTTGAAGATCAACCAAGTAATTATTCCCTAGATCAGTGATTGTCAGATGTACAAATATGTCTCTGTAGATGAGATTTTAATCTGCCGCTGTTCCTGAAAGAGGATATGGAAGTTCCCAAAGGATACTATATCATACAAGCAAAATTTTTTTTTTTTTTGTAAGAATAGTAGGTTTCTAGCTTTTAAAACTTTTCCCCCCTTTTCATTCAGATGGCCCACTTGCTGTGCAAGAGGGTGAGTAGCAAGAAAAGTAATGCAATACAGCTTTTCCCAAATGGTTCTTTAATACTGTGGATGATACAGGGCTCTGTTATCTTAAGATGTGATGCGCTGGGCTGCTGGCAGTTCAGCAACCAGCAACTAGGACCTTATTTTAATGCACAAGGCTGCCTTCAGAAAGGTCTCCAGACTCTGCTCTGTAGCAGGTAATTTTTATCTGTCTGCTCATAGCATGTTGTACTGTAATGATTTTGTTCTGTGATGCAGATTTCTTTCTGCATCTAAATATATTGTCTTTTGATGATCTGATAATGTTATTTAGTTATTTATTCATCCACATAAGGTATTTTAAATCCCTATATTAATGTCTGCTTGTATGTACCATTATTGTGTTCAGTTTTTTTTTTTTTTGGTAGAAATTTAGGTAGTTTTGAGTATTTAAGTTTAATGTCCATAGTATTACCTTAAATTAAAATTTCAGAATGTAGTGTCTGTCTTCTGGTAAAGGATAATAAATATGTTAAGGCACAGTGGGTTTCTTTTGAATACTTTTTTTTCATTGATTTTTATTATAAGTATAAACCAAGAGATGCATTTCTCTGGAGAAAAGCTTATCTCCTGGATAAATAAAATCATGCTAAAATTTTTGAGTAATATGTATTGCTTTCGTAATAAGAAATATAATAATTTATAATTAAAAAATAAAGCTAAGTTTTAAAATCACACACAGAGCAGGATAATATAGGGTACATAATACATACACAAAATAGTAATATCTTGCAAGATGTATTTGAAGCTAGCTTCTTTAAAACTATTCTCAAATTATTATACTGTGTATATATTTCCAATTGGTTTTAACTGGCAACTCATTTGTCAAGTTCCATTAGCATTTCAAAATGATAGTGGGATCATTACTGCCATGCATTATCAACATTCTAGAGCTTTATTTATTAACTTTATGTAATGATTACCTTTGAATTGCCATACTATGTCTAAAAGAAAGTCTCTGTCCACTTTCTAGAGTTTATTATTGGAAAGGAAACAGTTAACAGCAGGTCTGTAATCTATACCTTCTTGCTGGGAATGCATTCCCCCTTATTAATGACCTTGACCAAGGCTATTTTTACATAATAGTTATATTTATGATAGCAAATATTAATGATAAAGGAACTTGGAACACTCTCTAGGGCCGTTAGCAATGATACAAATCAAAACTTTAATAATAACAGTAAAACAATGATAAATTCTATAAACCCAAGAGCTCTGATAGCATTAAAATTGCTTACGAATTCTCCCAGTTTGAAATTGAGAGAAAGTGCTAAACATATATAGCTTTAGCAGTATATCTGGAGGAGAAACAATGACAAGTGTCAAGGGTGTACTTTCCTTGGGAAACTCCAGGCCCTTTTGTGCTAGTGTTGGTCGCTCAGTCGTGTCCGACTCTTTGTGACCCCATGGACTGTGGCCCGGCAGTCTCCTCTGTGCATGGGATTTCCCAAGCAAGGATACTGCAGTGGGTTGCCATTTCCTTCTCCAGCAGATCTTCCAGACCCAGGGGTCGAACCCACATCTCCTGCGTTGCAGGTGGATTCTTTGAGCCAGGGAAGCTCTTTTGTAAGTGTCTCTTACTCAGCAATCATGTCATTGTGGAG